CACTAATACTGCATTTTCTATCTCTGATAGAGTAATGTTACAAGAGTAGTATTTCCGTTATCAATACAAAAAGAATTTCTAAACAATTCCATGCAAGACATCCAAGAATAGTGAGGATGAAATCCCTGACGGTAAGCTATATTCATTGGCCAATATTCGACAAAGATATTCAAATTACAGTTCGAAAATATAATGCTTTTTATTTCGCAGCGAATCCAGCACCTACAAATCATCAGCCATGGACTAACACTGATACACCATGGGCAAGATTACATATGGACTTGTAACCGTCCTACTACGCAATAATGATTAAATCCTTACGCGAAATTTTTGTAAGTTTCGATTACCTGACATTGCGATGTCCGATGATCGAACTCACCTTACTTTTAGTGAGTTTAAAATTGTTTACAAAAACTACGCGGCTGAACATTTGGCAACAACAACTTATCATCCGAGTTTGAATCGTCAATCTGAACGGTTTATTGACACCTTCAAATGGGCAATAAGAAAAGCTAAAGACTTGGAAGGTAAAGAAACGGTACTACAAGAATTTTAGAGCGTATATCGAATGACGTCAAATACAAACGTCGACGCGAAAATGACACCTGCAGAGCTCATGTTTGCTAGGTAAGTTAGATTCAGTTTTGGCAAAATGCTATCAGAGATTAAAAAGAAAAGTCGGCAATTTGAGACTAACAGATCATTTAGGATTGACGATAAAGTTGTCTTAAAAAGCTTTAAGGCCGGAAAGGAAAATTGACAGTGGAGAAAAATTATTCGACGCACTGGCAGTATGATGTACATTGTCAATCAAAAGTAAACGATTTCAACATAGAATATATAAAAATCGATTGAGGTCTAGATATGAATAGAATAATCAACAAGTACAAATAAATTGATCGATAGATATACTTTACGATAATTTTGAAATAATTATTCTTAAAATTAGTATTACAAAACAACGCAAGGTTAAGCGAAAACATAATCTGGCAGAAACGTGTAGATGTGTAAGAAAAATTATCGAGTAAATAGTGAATATCTAAAACGTGGGGTGTTGTGTAGAGAATTCCAGAATATGATTTGGACACGTCCTAATACCATATATTCTGACGAAAAGAATCGTCAGCAGAGAGTGAGCCACCCGCTAATCGGGATCTCTGCATTCAAGCGCGGAGGAAATATTAGGAGGTTATGCCTACGGGCACACTCGTCGGGGGGAAATTAGGCAGACACCCGGCCCTGTGTATGCGTTGTATACAGGGAATTTTGTCTGTGTGCGCGCGCTCGCAACATCCACATCAGAAACTGGCCTTGTGCTGCATACCGCCTTCGGATAAATAAAGAACTGGCCACTTGCTAGCCTAGAGCCGTGTTGTCAGAGCTTGTTGGACACTCTGCCTTCGGGCGGAGAGGAATTCAGACGAGGTTGTGCCTACAGGCAGTCTTATCTGGGGAAAATAGGCAGAGACCCGAACCCCTCTATACGTGTCTTGCGGGTTTTTTTTATACGCGCTCGGAAAGATTCACATTAAAAAGTGGCATTGTGCCACATCCCGCTTTGTGCGGAGGTTTCGGGTGAATACAGAGCTAGCAGGGAGTGAGCCTTATATCCTTACTATAGAATCCAGTAAGATTAAGTCGACTCCAAGCGACATTATAATGCATGCTTTTATCATCTCTCTTTAATGGAAATAAGACAACAGAATTTTGCTAGTTAAAGTAATTATTTCCACATTAACTTCTTGAAGCAACATTGTGTATTTGATATAATTATTTGATATCACGTTGGAGAAAGAACCTACATTTTTTTAGTTATTATCACGTGAAAACACTCACGGGGTCTATGAAAACAATAATTCTCTATATACAGATATACACGTTCAATCTCGTATAATAGGTTACGTACTACCACAAATATATACAGACAACGAAAAATGCTCCAAAATCCACATAAAAAAAAATCCTGAAAAATGTGTTAACCACGGTAATTTTATTTTTCAAATGGTCAATCATTATTTTTTTACAGTTATAAAACATGTATATATCGTATATATAATCAGTTTCGCAAATTTCTGCCAATCTGGACACACTTAGAATCCAAAGAGAGATACATAGAATTTTATTTTTGGACAGATAAAATGCTATTGAGTTTCATTTATTAGGAATGAAACATTTAATATGTATATAAAAGCTGCTTTAGATAAGTGAATAAGTATAGTTGATGGATTTATTAATTTACTTATTACGTTTCATTAACAGAAAACTTAATTCCAACAGAAAGGCCTCTGATCGTTAGGTTTTGAATAGATTGGAACCACGTCAACTGATGTCGTTCCTTGGCTCACCCTGGCACGGGTCAGTAGCACCTGGTAGGTTTCCGGCAATAATTACCACTCTAAAGCGGGGTCAAAACACCAAGATATGCTAAAAATACATTTTTATAATAAAAAATCTTAGTAATATATTTTCATAGTATAAAAATTATAAGAAATATATTTGTGTTTAAAAAGTAAATATTGCTAGCAATAACTTTTTTGCAAAAGAAATATTCCCAGAAATATTTCATGTCAAATAATTTACGAATGATCCTAAGGAAATTCAATTTGATTAAATGATGCACAATAAGTTGATATGCTGATAAACAAACATACAACTTATCATTCAAAGTCAGAAAATATTTATAGATTGTATTTTTTTCAAACAATTATTTACTGATAAAATTCAATAATTGGTAGTAGAATAGGCGAAATCTTACTTTTCTCAACGATATTTGTGCGTTAGTGAATACAATGACCCCAACTTGAATTGGAACACGGTGCTTATTTTTCCATATCCGAACTGATATCCATTGAATTATTCGCAGATTCAAGCTTACTGCACTAACTATTCTCATACAGTCACCCGTCTAGGTATTAACTAAATTCGACATTGCTTAATTTCGTAAATCGTACGACAACCGGTGATGCAACGTGATATGGGCGTAGGACTACAGTTGAAGAAAACCTAAAAGTGAAATGAAAAAGAGAATTTGGCGGCAGACCACACGGTAGTACGTCAGGAACCGATACTATTCCCGCCCTTAATCCAAATAACATAAGATGACTAACCCAAATCTTGGGCTAAATTGCAAAGATGACAGTACTCTCTAGACATGGATAACAAGCTGGATGAAGACTATGAATTAAAACTTGCGACCACCGATGGGAGGCACAGTGGAGTAATGGATAGCGGCTCGGATTAAGGTTCGAATTCCAGTCGAATCCATTACATTCGCTTACGTGGTAATACCCTTGGGAAAGGTATGTATTCTCTTCTTCTCCCACCAACTAAATAGGACAGACTGGGTTCTGTAGCCTTTGTTGGCAACTTATCTATCGCAGAATGAAATGGCACATTACTGCGGGGAAAAATTTGCCTCGTCAGGCATGTATCGAAAGACACATGATCGCCTAAGCGTGTATGATGAATGGCACATAACTGACTGACCACCGGTTTGCATATATATATATATATATATATAGATAGATAGATTACGGCTAGATAGCGGCTTGCAATGAGAAATGTTACTGCTGAGTTCGAATTCGTTACAGATTTTGTTTAAATTGTAAACCTTGAAAATGTAACAAAAATATTTTTATTCTTAATTGATTCATTATAGATAATTCAATGACAAATGTAATAATTATACTTACAATAAAAATATATTTCGGATTTAAATAATGTGGACAGTTTTGATAAATCAGTGAAAGTATACTGATATTTATTTATTAAATTCTGCAGAATTTGGTTAGTCAAGTTGTTCACTGATTTATTTATTTTGAGATTTAATACAGAATGGATCCCACTCATGCATATGACAATTTATATGGTCTAGTGAGAGATTCAGTCATCATTCCATCTTGTTCCATATATTTGGGAATAATTCTGCCTGAATTGTGGTCGAATATTTTTCAGCGTATCTCGAATACATGGACATCATTTGAGTGGACACCTCTTTTGGGTTTCAGGAATGATAGCAGAACTCATAATGCCACATATCGGACCGATTCTCTTGGACGAAGACATGCGGAAATATATCGCTCGCTATGTCTACTTCATAAATACAAATGTATCTCACATATCGGAAGAACTTTAATCACAAAATATGACAGAAAGACATTAAGATTATTCGATTGCCACATCACCAGATACGGCGAGGATTGTCATGCTAAAATAAATCATTCTACTTGTCAAATTGGGTAAATGTTATAGCTCTTTCTCATACTGATTTTTTCAAACAATTTCTCTGGTTGAAACGTTTTCTACCCATTCTGTTATTGTTGCTGACGGAAGGGTTCCTGTTTTGAAATTTATACGAAACTATTTACAAGATCAGATTCAGATCAAAGCAAATATGGAGTATTAACAGGAGTTACCCATTCCTCACTTGTCTGTTTCGAAACAATTCAAAAGCATCTACGTGGTCTTGTGTGCGATGAATTGTTTCCCGCTCTACATCATCTTTGCTAAGGACGAGGCGTCGAGAAATTCTCTCTTGTCTACCGCTGTGACCAAGGCAATTGTCTGACCGTTACAACCGGGGTGCACCTTGTCACGTAAATATGGATGAATCATCATTGCCTTCGTTTTCCATTAGTATAAAGGCAGTTCCGCTCGTACAGCTTTTTCGAAATGACTGCTGTGATGTTTTCCCAGTCATTGTAATCTACACATCTTCAAGTCTACGGATAAAAGTTAACGTTCATAAATTCATAAACTTCACTTCTTGCTTTTTTTTGCGCTCATATAACACCTCAATCTGGTGTAATGGTTTGCAAGCTTATTTAGCTAGAACAATTATAACTGAGTAGCCAGTTACATTTACACAGTATTCTCCATACTATCGGTCTTGTACATATGTAAGCTGTGCTTAGAAAATCAATATACAACAATACAGAATAAAACTAAACCGTGTTCGGCTCTTTGGCTGTCTATTGGGTGAACATTAGTGTTAAAAATTATTAAAATATATTAAAAGATATTCGTCTTTGTAGTGGCTGTCTAATGAAGGAAGTTTTAATGAAGGAAGGTCTAACGAAGGAAGGTTTAATGAAGGAAGGTCTGACGAAGGAATTTCTAATAGAGGAAGGTCTAATGAAGGAATGTCTAATGAAGGAAGGTCTAACGAAGGAACGTTTAATGAAGGGAGGTCTGACGAAGGAATTTCTAATAGAGGAAGGTCTAATGAAGGAATGTCTAATGAAGGAAGGTCTAACGAAGGAAGGTTTAATGAAGGAAGGTCTGACGAAGGAATTTCTAATAGAGGAAGGTCTAATGAAGGAATGTCTAATGAAGGAAGGGCTAACGAAGGAAGGTTTAATGAAGGAAGGTCTGACGAAGGAATTTCTAATAGAGGAAGGTCTAATGAAGGAAGGTCTAACGAAGGAAGGTTTAATGAAGGAAGGTCTGACGAAGGAATTTCTAATAGAGGAAGGTCTAATGAAGGAATGTCTAATGAAGGAAGGTCTAACGAAGGAACGTTTAATGAAGGAAGGTCTGACGAAGGAATTTCTAATAGAGGAAGGTCTAACGAAGGAATATCTAATGAAGGAAGGTCTAATTAAGGAAGCTTTAGTGAAGGAAAGTCTAACGAAGGAATTTCTAATAGAGGAAGGTCTAACGAAGGAAGGTTTAATGAAGGAAGGTCTGACGAAAGAATTTCTAATAGAGGAAGGTCTAACGAAGGAATGTCTAATGAAGGAAGGTCTAATGAAGGAAGGTTTAATGAAGGAAGGTCTAACGAAGGAATTTCCAATAGAGGAACGTCTAACGAAGGGATGTCTAATGAAGGAAGGTCTAATGAAGGAAAGTTTAATGAAGGAAGGTCTAACGAAGGAATTTCTAATAGAGGAAGGTCTAACGACGGAATGTCTAATGAAGGAAGGTCTAATGAAGGAAGCTTTAATGAAGGAAGGTCTAACGAAAGGAACGTCTAATGAAGGGACGTCTAACGAAGAAATGTCTAATGAAGGAAGGTCTAACGAAGGAAGGTCTAATGAAGGAAGGTCTAATGAAAGAAGGTCTAACGTAGGAAGGTCTAATGAAGAAGGTCTAACAGGATGGTCTAATGAAGGGAGATCTTATGAAGGAAGGTCTATTTTAAAATTTAATGCATGACATAGTGTGAAGACATTTTATATTATTTCTTTAAGAAACTATTTGTATCGGGATGTTAGTTTAAACATTTATGAATTATTTGGGTATCATGCATCCCACTCTTGTGAAAGTCTTGATCCGACGATGTTATTTAAGAACATGACGAGTTTCTCTGTCAATATTATTGGGTTTGAGTATCTGCAAATTGCTGGAAAATATTCATTTGCTGCAACATCTGTTCTGCTCAGCTCCCTTATGCCTTATATTAAAATAGTTATATTTGATAATCGATTAATTTAAAGAATTTAGAATTCATCAATTCAATATTATCTATATTTATGATATATTCAGTGAATGACCGGCTATTTGGACTACGGTATAAAACAAGATCTGGGTAAGGAAGGTATGTTTTCGGTCCTGATAGCCATCAACTGCAAACAACGGCCTATGTTGACATACCTGTGAATATAATTTTTTCCATTAGAGGAACGAGACGCTGCCTTTCAAAATAGGTTGATCTTGGTAATGCTCCATAATCCGAGGCTATCCAGAACCTGCTCTACGTGGTTTGGAATTTTCAAATGACAATTGTTGATTACTAGAAATTACAAATTATTGCAGTTTTTTTTGTATTATATACTAGTGAGCTAGCCTAAATGAGTTGACTCATATTATAGTTCACCAATAGAAGGGTTAACCAATCAGAAAGCTCAAAATATTCAATGCGACGTGTATAAAGGCAGCCATTTTTTCTCCCCAATTTTCTGAACTGCCAACCTGATATCGAAGACTTAAAGAATTACTTAACAACCGCTACTTCCTCTGAATCTTCACTGCCGACCTCTGATATTGAACAGATTACGGACTCCACTGGATTCCATATTCAGAGACTGCGGCAAACACGGTCAACAATTATCACCAGAAATATGTTTAGCAATTTTTGGAAATCAGCATCCAGCTTTTCAAAGACCATATTTTATTTACTTTTCAGAGATTCTAATCGAGTAGGCTGTAAACCAGTTTCCCTTGGAAAACTTGTCACGTTAAAAAGTATCGTAATGTGCGTCTGTGTCTAAACTTTAGACGAGAAATTCTGAAATGTCATGGGGGATTATTCATAATTCACGTCAGAAATAGCTGCTAGAAAATCTAGAAAAGCTTGATTTATTTTGGAAGTATACTATAACTATCCATAATCTATACCGGGAACAAACTGCCTGAATACTAACAAAATAAATTTAAAAAATACACAAAAATATAGAGGTTCGTAAGTCAAGGAAGTGTTTTCTCACTAGACTTATTCAACTTTTACCGTGAAACAATACTGAGAGAATTAGAAGTCTAAAACTCGTAAATCATTGGCGCCAACAATCTTAATAACATTAGATATGCCGGTGACGCTGTGTTGACAGAAGTCAGAGAAAGGAAGCTGAAGAAGGTAGTAAGGGAAAGCAAGATGAAAGTACGAAGCATCAATTGCAAGAAGACAAAATGCATGGTTGTCAACAAAAGAAACAAATCAACACGCGAATTATAAATTGGAGATAAAAAAAAAAAACAAACTAGCAAGTACAACAATTCTAATATCTCGGAATTTTTTTAACAGAGAAACGAAAAACGGCAAGCTGAAATTCGTAAATGAGTTTGAATAGCGAAATACGGCTTCAAGAAAATCCTCCGATGTGACAATGAATACTGGACAATCTTATCCCAGATAATAAAAAAAATGAGGGAACAGAAAAGATTTTTTACAGATGCTAAGAATAACAGGAACTGTAAATGATCATGGACGAAGTTTTAAGAAAAATGAGAACAAAAAGAAATACGTTGCATAAGATAAAGATAGTTGAAATTTCTAGCGGGTATAATGAGGAAAGTGGCTTAGAAACTTTGTAAGTCACGTCACATACAGCAGGCCAGAGACACAGTGTAACAAAGTGAATAATCTACCCAAATATTTGTTAAATGTTTGGTAGAAGGAGAGATAGCAAAAATATATACTTTACTTTAGAAGTGTAATTATGGAAATACATGATCGTCCAAATCATCAACGGGCAAGGCAGATAGAATTAAAATTAGAGGGACGGTTTTAGACGAAGTCTTTGAAGTATTTCAGAATTATATAGTAAAAACAAACGTATAGAATCTTTACTTAGAGTACATTCTTGGTCTTACCTAACAGTGCTGGAATTTTATTTTCTGTCAGTATATATAGATACGGTGGAGTAATGGATAGCGGCTTGGATTGAGAAATCGCAGAGCCGAGTTCGAATTCCAGTCGAATCCATAAGGTGTGAATCATCTTCTTCTCCCTCCAGCTATGGGTAAATAACAGGACGGACTGGGTTCTATTGCCTTGGATGGCGACTGGTCTGGGAGAAAGAAAACTCTGAATTCAAAACCGGAGGAGGGTCGTTTGGGGAACTTGTGGCACTTCGTGCAACACGTCTCTGAATTCGGCCTTTCCAAAAGTGTGGCTGGTCCTGCACGAAACATTCACCAATATAATCAAATATCATGTACTGTTGTCGGGCTGTCGGTTTCCTGGGAATTGATCTGCTTGACCCTCATACGTCGAATTCGACGGGAGAGTCGATTATATATATATATATATATATATATATATATATTTTTTTCCTTTTACATGCAATTTCAAGTTATTCCATTTCTTGAAGGTTTGTGCAAGAAGCAAAAAATCCATTGCCAAATGCAATGTCCTGAGAAGACTGAGTAAAATGTCTGCGAAATGGCATATATTTTTGTCAGTGCCAAATCTCGATTATAGATTGCTTTGTTCTTTTATGTCACCAGAGATCCAATTCACGTTTTACGGTCGAAAGAAGTCAAAGTCCATCCGTCTAGATTGATGGATTAAGATAAAGAAAGGAAGAAAATCGTGTGTACATTTGTACGTCGGTATTTTCCGAAATATGTTTTAGAATAACGATTGGCCAATGCGTATGTGCACATTAGGAAAGAATCTAGATGAAACTGATGGATAAAGAACAACAGAAAACAGAGACATTACACACACAAAATCACACGCGCACCCACACGCGCAAACTTATAAGCATATATACACAGATTTAAACCCAATGTATACATGCGAAAAGATATGACTTGTTTTAGTGTACATATCTATTTGTATATTTATAATAGGTTATTCATCGTTAAATATAGGTAAATAGGTTTACGCTGAATGACATCACCTTGAAAAAATTCAAGATGGACAAGAATCAATATATATATATATATATATATATATATATATATATATATATATTAAGACATTTTATGTTTATACATTCATTTCATGGATACAAATATTTATGAAAATGCTCTGTTTATAATAAACAGTATTAAACAATATTTGCCGGCCTGAATTTGGTGGACGAATATTATCTATGAAAATTTACCGAACATTCAGGCCGCTAAATGTTGTCTAATACTGTTTATTATAAACAGAGCATTTTCATAAATATTTGTGTGATGTCATTTGTTTACATTTGATACGCCGTGAGCAGATATGAATGTATGTGAGAGATTCATGGATGATTGAAGTTTAAAGCAGTACATTCGACCTCTGTGGTTGAATCGGTTAAAAGGCACGTCAGGCTATATGACGGTTCCATATAGGATACAGGTTCGAATCCTGTCGGAGAACGAATATTTTCTTTGAAAATTCCTCGGACATTCAGGCCGGTAAATGTTGTTTAATACTGTTTATTATAAACAGAACATTAACTTATATATTTGTATCTATAAATAGAATGTATAAACATAAACAGTCTTAAAATAATTGTCGGACTTTGTCCATTATATATATATAGTCTTAAGGTGTGCTCTATTTATGGGGAAAATTGGTCAATTTTAGAGAGAGAAAGCGTATGTAAATATAAAAGTGAACATAAACGTCAACACTGAGAGGCGACAGTCTGTATCATGCTAAATAATGTATTTTTATAGGTATGCATCTACATGCAATTAGTATCACACCCAGGATATATATATATATATATATATATATATATATATATATATATATATATATATATATATATATATATATATATATATATATATATATATATATATATATATATATATATATATATATATATATATATATATAGAGAGAGAGAGAGAGAGAGAGAGAGATAGACATAGATCAAACGGCCAGATATAAGAAAGCGTATACGCGCGTCCTCTTGTGTATATGCGGTCAAGCAGATAAAAAATAAATCATTAAATCTATATATATATATATGCCTAAATTTTGGTGTCTGTATTCAGTTTCGCTGGATTATTAGCCGTATTATATACATACACATGCACTCAAACACACACATGTATGTGTGTATGTATGTATGTATGCATATATAGAGAGAGAGATAGAGAGATAGTTGTCTACTTATTCTCATAATTGAAGACAGCAAGTTAATACCTATTCATTACATTCCGAGTAATTTCGATATTCACTTCAGTTTTTGTTTTAGTTAACACAAAATTGCTGTGTTCCTCTTGAAATTATTTTTTAACTGTGAAGTGAAAAATGCTAAATTTCTGTACTGTGAGATTTTTAAATTTTATGGTATAAGCATATAGATGCAGTAACGTGTAGGAAGATAACTAAATTGTTGCGATGTCTATCTATTTTTTCAAAACTGTTTAAAGCTATTAGTAAAAACCGAGATATTTTAAAACTATGTGTTATGGGGTCCACCCTTTTCGGATATAATGGACTCGTCCTGCTGCCATAAAATAGCCACAGTCAGGTAGAGAAGAGGAGTCGTTCCGGAGTCGTACATGAGTCGTACAAGAGTCGTACAAGAGTCGTCTGTGAGTGTCGGATAGAGTGAAGTTAACCTCTTGTAGAATTCAGTTACAAGCACGTAGACTCTAAGGAAGTCCTACTTCGAGACTGTATATATCTATCTGTATTTGCTACTAACCGTGTTCCTGGATTTTACTAACAGCATTCCTTTTGTATTTTGTGTAAATACATTTAATATCTTAGCTTAAATACTTACGTTTGTCATTTATTGGATACCTATTTTTCACGCGGGATCCACAACACTATGTAGTGTAAACATTTTCAAACTTTTGTGCAGTATTCATAACTGATTTTATAAAGGGATGCTTTCCATTTTTAATTTAGATATATTCAAGAAATTTTTATGTTTATTCTTTTCAATTTTTTTTTTCCATCAGGATTTTTGTAAATTGTTTATGTACACAGGCTTGATGTTATAAATATAGACAGATGTAAGATGTATCATTCAAATGTAAACATAAAAGTCTGTATGACGTAGTAGTGGATGTGACCAACAGGAATATATATTTTCTCTTGGCTATAAAAACACCAATGACGGTATTAAAATTTATATATAATGACGGTATTCAACTAATAAAGACTAATATATCCACCGCTGATACTAGTAAAAATATATAAATATATTCACCACCAAATAACGTATTGTA